AATGAAAGTGTAAGTATTTAAAGCTTGAATTTGCCGTTTTGTAAATATTTAGCAATACCCGTTTTGTAAATAGTTACAAAACCCGTTTTTGTAAATATTTAAAAATACCCGTTTTGTAATAGTGTAACTATAATACCCGTTTTTGTTACACTATAAACGGGTTTACACTATTTATACTACCCGTTTAGTAAATATTTACACTATTATACATGATTTTGCCGTTTGAAAATAACAAAAAAAAAAGTGTGCAAGTACTTGTGGATGCTTTAAGCACAATTGTGGACGAGGAAAGAATTTTCCTCAGTGTTCGCTGAACACTTTTGAACAGTTATTTCGAGCCGTTGCTCGTACATGTATTATGGTTCTTTTGATAATGAAATTTCGTATCGTTTCGACAAAAAAAAATATGGCTATTTTTTACTTTTTAAAACGAAACATGTTTTCCCACATTGATTCTCCCTTTAATGGAGGTAAGGTTTGTCCATTGTAATTAGCCCCATTCCCGTAGTTTAAACCCGTTTTCACTCAATTATGTGAACAAGGCCTAGTTTAAAACCCGTTCTCACTCCAATTATAGTTACAAAACGGGTTTTCTAAATATTACCACTTTACTTCCGTCACTTCGATGCTTTGTCAAGTTTTAAAGAATAATAATTTTCTTCAAAATCCTTAAATTTTCTTTTCTCGTTATCATATTACAGAATAGTTCCTTGTGATTTTAATGCCAAAAGATCGAAAAAAGGTACTGTATTAAATTTATTTGTTTTAGAAAGCAATCTCCATAGTTAGTAGGTTACATAAAACTTGATCAACACTTCAATTCATAAAATTAAAGTTTATCTGCAAATCATGTATATCACGTGTCTAGAGATAATTTTATCTTATCGTATTTTCAACCAAAATAGGTGTTGAAATTATATGCTTAATTTCTATGACTTCTAGTAATCTCGATAAATTTTTATTAAAAAAGGCAAAGTATATGCCTTTAATGAAGAATATGAAGGCCAATGCAGGAACAAAAACGCTACATCTCCGATTCATTCATCAAATGATAGTAACGGCAAAATTTACTAATCACTTTTGCGGGTGACAGTTTGGATTTTGATTGGGTTTTGCGAGAACGTAAAATCTTAAGGAGATAAATGCGTCACTCCTGCTTCTGTTTGTCCCACGTCAAAAATTTTGAAGTGAGCATGTTTGGTACATGACATTAGATTCATTGGGCTAGGTGCAACTTGAATTAAACATTTGAGTCCGTAAATCTTGCCCAAAGGTTGTTGGGCTAACCATTGGGCCCGAGGATACTCTTACCACTTCCTGGCAGTGAAACTCTGAGTGGACTCGAGAATGGAAATGAGAGGACTAAGGAAGTGAAACTCCGTGGAAAAAGAGTCGAGTGAAAGCGACTAATACCATCTCCACCTTGTCGGAAAATCCTCAATTTCACATTCTGTCAGCTTTTTTTTTTTTTTTTTTTTTTTGGTTTAATCAGACGGTAACATCTCGCCTAACCTAGTACTATTACTCCTATTCCTACTTCTATTCTCTTAGCTCTTTTTTTTTTTTTTTTTTTTTATCAAATGACACCATTTAATTTAGCATACTCTTACTCTTATTCTAATCTACACTGGGATCTTTTATTCTATCCTACACTAAAGAGGAGGAGAGATCCAATGAGGTTTAGAAAAACCGACGAAAATTGAATCTTCATTGAACTAGCTCCTACTCCATCCTATGCTAGAGGAAGGGGGGCGGGCAGGCGGTGAGAGAGGGGAGGCCTAATGAAAATTAGAGAAACCGACGAAAACTGAATCATCATTGAACATAGAAGAGGCCACCTGTAATAATACCCTGTACGTACCTGGATTTGTCCTTCACAACTATGGTGATGAGCATCTGGAAAATATCCGTGAATTCCTTCGTCCACGTCATCAATTGTGCTAAAGACAACCGTCTCTTTAGACCCTGTACCTGGTGGCCGGACAGCCCAGCCAGAACAGCCCCAGTCCCCACCTGAATTGCTAAGCATCCGAGTAGACCAAACTAATGCAACAACACATTCCACTGATGAGCCACCCCCAAGACCAGGTGGTGGGATGCCACATCGAGCCCCTAGCCACTGCTGAAGGTAACATGATGAGCATGAAACTGTTATTGTTGGTGATAGGAGTTTGTTTTACTGCTGTTGGTGCTGCTCTGCAAGCTCTCCAAACTTCAAAACCACTTCCGATAAATGGCTTTTCATTGGTTTTGCAATTTGCATGCATGGCTCTTGAGCTGTCCTTTCTCTCCGCGATTGTGCCTTTATATATACATCCGACCACCTAACCAGCTGGCATCTCTTCTGATGCACCATGCTGCCATTTTCTTGGTGGCCAAGGCATTCATGCTGGCCATCTCAATGAACTTTCCGACCCCATTGTCACTCTGGTGATCACCGTGCCACTCTACTCCATTGTCATCCTTCTCATCATGGTTGCCAAACTTTAGATGCCCTGAGACACAGTAAATCCATTATCAGCTCAGTGAATAAGGATATAATTCGGCAGGTGTTCAGACGTTTTTATAAATGATGTTCTAATTTTTTTTAATCTTTTCTTCGTTCGAATATGTCGTGATCAAATATCTAGTCACAGTGAATTGATCTTTTTCAGTTGTGACACCTATCATTGAATTTATTATCATTGCATCCAAACAAGAGAAGCCAAAGATAGACATAGTATAAAAAGGGAAAAAAAAAAAATGAACCAGGAATGAATAGATCTTTTAAGCTTTCAATTATAAAGCTGATGTGGGTTTAGTGAATCTTTCGTCTTCTAATCCTTCGCTAACCTCTTTCCTTATTGTATCCGTAGCTTCTAAGTCAAATTTTAATAGTTCATTTTATTTCCTATACTTAGTTAAAGAATTTTGGAACCGAAAGTCACTTGGTTTTCTTTTTATCTTTGGCGTTTTCGGTTTCCCTTGTTTTGTTGAGAATTTATAGTCTATTAACATTTGACTTGAAGCTATCGCCCCAATAAGGAGGAGGTCAGCAAAGGATTAGATGACAAGAAGTTAAACCTCTATTGTTGTACTCTAAACTCTGAAGGTTGCATTATTTTGGAAACCCAGAGTGATGCGTTTCAATCTCAATCAAACAACGTGCCCTCAAACAAAAGCAAAAAACTAATTTTGTGACCCTTATCAATTCAGCTGAGTGCCTGTCGCGTAGGAGTGGGTACAGATTGTATACCAGCTATATACAATATTTAGCTGGCTCGACTCGCACTATGCCAGTCAATCATTTTGTGACTCTTATCAATCCCGCGCATCATCAAGTATCCGTTGAAAGATGATCAAATTAACAGATACACACGCTCCACACCATTTATCATTTTATTTTTTTTAAAAAGAACTAATTTATACTAATTTAATTTTGTATTTTACATATTCATCTAAAATTTGACACAGATCTCATCCAAAAAGAAGCCTCGTACCAAAAAATAAACATGCAATGAGAATACAAAAAGAAGAAAAATATTAAAAGAATTCAAAATCAATGAAAAATGAATAATTAATACTCGTTTTTTCATATATATTCTACATCAATCAAACTCTTTCCTAGAAAAACATCAAATGATGACCTCTAAATCTTGTAAACCAATAGTCTCTTGTATTTGAAGTATCATTTGCTCAATGAAATTTCTTAGTTAACTCTAAAAATATTATTATTTTGTAGTATGTGTATGAAGATAATATATATAGTTTGCCAAGGTCGAAAACAGTAGCATCTGGCAGCAACTGAGACTGAGGAGCAGCCCATCGTTGATCTGATAAGCAATGGCCATTGACTATGATCTGATAAGCATGCAATGGCCATTGCTAGTCACAGAATTTATGTTACAGCTGTTAGAATAGTGCAGCTCTGCAAGCTCCCGATCAGCTTCTTCCCCTAACTTTTCACTGGTCTTGCATGTCTATGGAGTTGTTTCCTTGGTTTGCTCGCTGGCCATTACAAAGTTGCAGCAGCTTCTTGTTCTAGAGCATCTTGGGATTTTCTTTGGCGCCCATGACAACCGATGAACCTGTTGATTTCGGTTGCAGTGAAATATAATCCAAAGTCCAATGACTCTACAGCGAATTGATTCGTTAAAAGCCCACAACAGCAGTTGAAGCCTTGAAGTTGAAGGTGAAAGAGGGGCCCATCTCTCCAGACCACTTTAACACTTTCAACATCAGCCACTGAGCGAGGAACCTTTTATAGCTAACTTGGGAGATGGAATTTGATAGAAAAAGAAAAGTAAGTGGAAAGAAGGAATATTTTTCTTTTTGCGAGTTTACTAATGACAGAAAACAAAGGATTTGATCTTATTTAAAGGAATTCAGTGCGCGCCCACTTATAGCCTGATTTGGACAGAATATTGAAGAAAGCCTTAAATTTTTTTAAAATATCAATTCGATCCTTAAATGAGCGCTTTTATTGTTATATATATATATATATATATATATATCTAAAGTCATTCTGTTTCTTTTCTAGTATTGCGTTTGAATTAACTATTTTTTGAAATGTTTTTAAAAAATTTTATTATAGTAGAATTTTTAGAGTATATTTTGGAATATTTTTAGAATATATTTTGAAATATTTAAGAGTAGTAGGATTTTTAGAATATATATTGGGATATTTTTTAAATATTAAAAAAAATTTAAACTATTTTTTAAAGTACTTTTAGAATACTTTTTAAAAATTTTTATAATATTTAAAAAACTCTAATTTTTGGAAAACTCAGATCCAAACACAGCCGAACTACAACTCATTTTTCCTCTTTTCTTGTCTTTTATAACTTTTTTTTTTTTTTTCATCACAGTGAATATCTGAGCCCGTGAACTGGTTACCGTACGATCCAACTAATCCCACTGCAGACTGGAACGACCTGCTTCAAACATTACCAGCCACGATAGAACGGGGATTCGATCCCTGGACGTGGCTCTCCTCCAACTGGAACTACAACCACAAAACCGAATCCCGAGGGGCTCTTGTCTTTCATAACTTAAGCTCGTCTTTTCTTTTCTATCCTGTGCTCCCAAACCGGCCATAAGGACGCTAAACCCTAGCGTGGAAACTACTGCGCCTGTTCTACCTTCCCTTCCCACCGAAAAACACCTTATTTCCGCGAAAAACAGAAAGCAGGAGGCAGGACTTGGTGATAATTAGTCCTCTCACTCCCTATTACTCACGGAATTTGTTTTTTTTTCCCCCCGAAAACAGAGGCAAAGGCAGGACGGTGGAGCTGGGATTGACTTTGGTGAGTTTTTAGCCTTACAGTTTGCTTGTTTTGCTTCAACTCTATAGCTTTTCGAAGGGGAAAATATTTTTTTTTTGAGAAAGAAAAAAAAAATTTTTGAAAAAAAAAAAGAGATTAGGAAAGTGGAGATGTGATTGAAAGAAAGTAATTCTTGTTGGCCGTTGGAAAAACGATTCAGAAGATGTTTGTATAGCCTCTCGATTTGCTTCGGATACGGTTTGTTTCATCTGAATAATTGGTGGGGTATTGAAGTGTACTGTGCCTGCTAAACATAATCTGGCAGGCATACTACTTGAAACATGTAACTTCAAGGGGGAGCTCTGACTTATGCTATGCCTAGTCGTGCATAAGAACTTCCTGATTGTTGGTCTTTCTCTCCATGTCTTGTTATTGAAACATATTAGAAGTAAGTTCTGAGTTTGATAGGTTTTTCTCTGATCATACTGAGGGGGGCTTGGGAATTTTATGTGATCTAGATGCAGACCGGCCGGCACTTCAAAATCACCATCTAATTGTTAGTTTTTCCCAAACAGGTAATACGTGAGAACCTGATACAACACCGGTATGCTGTATAAACATTACATGCTGAAAATATCTCTCCTCATGTGTTGCCTTTTCTGATTAAAATGAGCTTAGATTAGGTTCTGTGTCACAGACAATTTGCCAATGGACACCAGTAATGAGAGCTTTGGATCTCTTTCTTATTGGATGAAAATTTAGGATAAAGTACATACAAGCATATGGCAGTAGGCCAGACTGAAATTCTCAGTAGGAAGAAGTTAAGCATAACTGGAAGATACATCCTTTTTGTAGTCTTTGGTTTCTGAGAAAGGTAGGAGTGGATCTGGAGCAGGTTTGTGCCTATGGGATCTGATTGTTCAATGAATTTGAACCATGTGGTTTGGCCATAAAATTCTTGAAGAAATAAGTAGACGATTCAGTTTAGATTAAGAGCGTTTAGAATTGTTTGAACAGCTTGACTTATTCTGCTGTGAGAGGCGATGCAATCAGTCATTTTCACCATTAAAACGTTTCGTGTAAATTGAATGTCAAAGTATTCTAAAAGAATATTTATTTTTTCTTGGGTTGGTCTAGAGATTAAAAGAAAAACAATGACACAATCAAATGATTTTATAGAGTTATAAAATATTAGATATAAATAGAATTAAGGAACAATAGAGAGAAATGTAATGAAGAGGATCTTAACTCATTGTACACTTTGCTATAATGAACAACACATAAAATTATTATTATTGTTATCATTATTGTTGTTGTTGTTGTTGTTATTATTATTTGTGCATGAAATAGTTTTAAAATGTTAGACTCAACACATCAAATATAAACACACCATTTTGGTTGATGGCAGTAGTAGAGTGTGAACAATGGTCCTAAGGTAAAACCCGAATTTTGATTTATACAAGAGCAGAGCACAGCATTACCTTCCGGGATAGGCACAAAATAACACCTGGGTATTTTACAGGATTGATAGTTGGAATCTGGACCTCATTTTCGTAGTCTGCCAAAACAAGGAGTTGATCGTGCTGATCGAGTAGTCCCCATGGGTGACACAGTGAACATGCAGTGGGTATTTCTGGTGATGGGAGTTTCTTTTGCCACCGTTAGCACTTCCCTGCAAGCTGCCCAAATTCCTGGCCCTCTCCCTGCCATCTTTCATTGGTTCTACCTGGCAGTGGAGCTGGCCTTTTTGGCTGTTTTAGTATCTAGTTACCTACAACGCCCTTACCCCAATGCTTCTCGTCTCATTCAGCACCTTGCAGTCCTCTTTGGCGCTGTTGCCTTTATACTGGCCGTCTCAACACCTTTCCTCCACCCCCCACTGAAGCCGTTATCCCACAAGCTCCTTCTCATTGCTTTTCTCATAATAATCCTTGCCAATCGTTATATTAGTTTCTGGTAATTTCTCTCTCTGAAATTTTTCACTGCATTTTATTTTTGATTATGTTTGGTTAATGTATACAAACATTTGACACAGGGCTTAACATAACATGGTGCTGATCGTTTCCCGCCTTGATGACTCACGAATTGTCCTACCAAGTTAAGATCTGCCTTTTCAGTTTTAAAATTCTCAGTTTTGCTGAGAAGAAGTGTTGTTGTTTTATATGCATTGTACAACGAAACAGGGCAAACAGAGACGATTGTGGTGGTGGTGGTGTTGTTGGAAATATATGTTGATCGTGTAATTTGTTTGATGACTAGTACTATAATCAACTGAAATGAAATGATGTTTTATGATTCCTGTGTTTATACATTTCCTTTAATTGTGGAGATCGTGCTATGATTTTGTCTTAAGAAGAGAGGAGGAGGATTGGGCAGTCCATAGGCAGGTAGACCTTATCATTTTTTGCCGTGATGATTGCAGTACCTGGAACGGAAAAAGATAGGATGTGAAAAAAGTTTGCATGTGAAATTGAAAGAAGAGAGAAATAGAAAGAACAAATAGGAAAACTATTGAAAGCTTATTTCTTAAATAGCATTACTTCAGAATAAAATAGGAAAACTCGAGATTGAGGGAACTGATCTTACAAAGAACAGTAAACTTGAGTGAAAGTTTCTTAAAAAAAAAAAAAAAAGAGTGGAATTCAGATCTATTGAGACTAAAATTTTCAGCCAGCCCAGTTCATTTTCGTTAGAATCCTGTCATACAACAGGATTACTAATGACGAAATCTGCAAAATTCCCCAATAGAGAACTTCAAATCAAAACCCATTTCCTCAACCGGATCAAGATTTCAGCGGTCTGAATGCAATAGAGAAGGCGTTTTGCTTGTTCGAATAATTTATTCATTTTCTCCTTGTTATGGTTTTTTTTTTTATTTATGCAGGCAACAGTTAAGCTGCCAAATGTATATGCGTGTATCTGGCTTCTGTTTGTCCCCTGTCAGAATTGGATACTAGAATTGTATTCGGTTCTACATTCTTCTAAGGCATAATCACATAATTGCAGTTCAATTCTGACAGAGGCTACTGGCCGAGATTGAATTGATGGTTTTTTTTTTTCAAGTAACAAGAACTAGGACTAATTGTATACTTGGTTGTACAACTAGCTTTGAGGGGGGAATTTTGGAATACAGGGTAAACCCCAAAAGCTGCTTGATCATGTTGGTATTCCTAATGCCATTTTTCCACATAATTTATACCTTGCCATGTTCATTCTCCATTTAACGGAGGCATGTGTATTTCTCTAATTAGCTCAATCGCGGTGGTTTAAATCTCGGCATTAGATAGGAGAGTGGAGCTTCGAATAAAACTGATTAAGCATAGCATGGCATGGATATAGATTAATTATTCCTTTCTAAGGATTCAAGAATTATACTATAAAAGAGAGCACAGAAAGATGGCAGTATGTTTGTACCCGGCTTGGTTTAAGCAAAGAGCCACATACATGAAAAATTGTTTGTCCGCGATACAGTTTCTCTTCTTTAGGGTTGCACGAACTATACTTCATTGAGTAAATCTTAAATATACTGTCAGTGTGTACACTATCAGGGTTTGATGAATAACACATGAGCAAAATTTGGTTGTAAAGTAAGGAATTTGGTGATAATTATCAATTAAAACCATGGCAATCAATTGCTAAGTGGAAATCATTTGCGCGAATTATTGCCAAAATTTTGGTTTATGAAGTAAAGATTGCAGTTTTTGTGGACAAATCTTTTTTTTAGAATAATCTCTTCACATAATTTTTAATTACTCATACTTCATGTACATTATGTCTCAAAAAGGTGCTGCAGAATATTTTTTCGATAAAAACTTCTCAAAAACCCAATGCGAATTGTCTCTTAATGTGCTAAATATGCGACTCAAATTTACTTTTGCCATCTACTGAACGCTTCCATACTGACAAGGCCGTTTGAATCAGTTCTGTGATTCCACTTGTTTATGGGCTTCAACTCTTGATTCTCTGTTTCTGTTTGAGATGCCTAACTTTGCTGAGGATTATTATTATGAAACAGTTTTGAAGTGTACCTTAATGTGATTTTTAACTCACTGTCTTGTAGATTCTATTAATTGAGTATTCTGCTATGCCATATTATTGGAAATAGACCATACCGTTAAAGAGCTGTTTGATCATTATTGGGTATGGTCAATTTTATTTATACTCGTAACGTTTGAGGATGAAAGTTTTGTCAATTAACGTTTCTGACCGTGCTATTTCATTTAGTGAATACGCGTTACTTTCCATTGCCTTCATTTCTTTTTTGGTCACGCTCGGCAACAGCCAAACGGGGCCTAGGAGTGGAGGCTACAAGAAAATTGTTTCAACTCACCTAACCTGAAACTTCTTTAGTGTCACTGTTCGAGATGGCCGATCGAGACTGCCAAAGTGAGACGTTTGCCACCCAAGACGGCCGAAGTATGGAATATATATATATTACTTTAGACCTAATGGCATATTAACAAGACTCCTCCCAAGCATTTCGTTCAGCTTTGCAGAAACACATCCCCCTTTGCAATTGCAACCGAAAAAAAAATTCCCTTGAAGCACACATTAATTTGTTCTGATAAGGAATGAGGGGAGAATTCAGGCTTGCTGTCCTGTTAATACCGTGATCGACCTGACCAAGCAGCTCCCTCTATGGAGGAGGGTAAGGCCAATTCCACCAGAGTTGCCCGCTGCCCAAGTTGAGCCTAGCGGTGCAGTATGTGAAACAGATCGAGCAGCAACCCGATAATAGTCATCAGGATCGAGCCCAGATAACAATTCGTGCAGCTCTCCCTGCCGCTTCATCCTTTCCCTGGCTCTGCATGGCTTTTGAGATGGCCTTCTTAGCTTTGTTGGTATCTGCTTACATACGCAGGCATTACCCCATAGCATCCCGTGTCATGGAGTACGTAGGAGTTTTCTTCTGTGCTGTTGCGCTGCTCTTGGCCATCTGGATGACCCTCAATCCCCCACTAAAGCAGATGTCCGTTGCCCTCTTCTTCATTGGATTCACCATAATAATCCTTGCCAATCGTTCCCTGCGTGACTGGTGCGTGAATTTTCTCTTGCCAATCGTTTAGAGAAGATAATGGAGCAGCTTACATCCGGTTTGACCTTTCATTTAATCATTAATTTGACAAGCATTCACTCTATCGTGCTTAAATGCTCCAGCGACCTTTTTTCTTTTTTTTTTTTTGGTCAATCGTCATTTTGTATTTATATCCTATTCTATCTTAATCTAACAAATAGAAGGTCCAACTGGGCCTACGAGGAAATTGATGAGAACAGAACCACTGCCGAATCAAACAGGTGCACTACGCACCCGTCTGGATTTTTTGAAGAACCACGTAATATAGTAATTGATGGCTCAAACCCTTGCCTCCCACCCCACCAAAGCCTTAATGGCTCGGTGATTTCTCATAGATTTATTGGTTACTACTGCTTTGGCTCACCGTAATTGCCTTCCCCACCCCCTCCCCGGGGCGCTCCCTCTCTCTCTCTCTCTCTCAGAGAAGTTGTGGTGGTGGAGGTATTCTATAGTATCCACTGTATGTCAGACAAGAAAGTCGAGCATCATTAACAAAATGGATCCACTACAGTCTGAGGAATATCGTATGACTTTTAGTGTTGGAATTGAGCATCTGCTCCACCTTTTCCCCATTATGTAAGGAATGAAAAGAACACCAGATTTAATGAAAAACAAGAAGTTAAGGTATACAAGAGGAGCAGAGATTCAAGAAAAGTACTGTTTAGAATTCTTCTCCTCAGTCAGAAGCGAACACATTGCTCTTGTTTTTTTTATTGGATTTTCGATGCAAACCTACCCTCCAGCAACATGTGATACCTTCTCCTTAGTGACAAGCTAGTTAAGGTTAATAGAAAAAGGTTCCGGCAGTTCAAATTTTTTCCAGCTTCATCCGAGTTTCAGTAACATTACTGTTGCATTTGTGCTTGCTTGCCATCTTGATGCCCCTCAATCGTTGCTGCATTCCTCCTAATTAATAATCCTTGCCAACCGTTCTACAAGTGATTGGTAATATCCTTCTTTCTTTCTTTCTTTCTTTTTGGAATCTTTTCCTGTATTTTATTTTTTGGTTAATTAATGTATAGATATATTTGATACATGCAGGGCTTAACTTGGTGGATTATTGTGTCATCCTCTGAATTTGAAAGTAAAGCCCATGCATGCTCTATCAAGCTGGATCAAAATTTCAGCAGCCTGAAGGCAATTTAGAAATGGCCCATTCAGCCTGCTCGGAAAAATTATTATTCATTTTCTCCTTGTTGTTCGTTTTCTGTCTGATTCATATTTTTGTAGTCAGTTGCCAAATGTATATGGGTGCATCTGGCTCTGTTTCTACAAAAGTGGTCTAAGCCAAGTGTGTTTGGATTGCTGAATTATTTCACACAATAATATTTCGCCTGCATCGTGAACACAACATTTCTCAATCCACATTTTTTCTATTTTCAACTACCTTTTTTTTTTATCTCACATGCATCATCGCATCACAAAAAGTGCTACAGTATGAAAATATAAAAAGTTGGATTGAAAAATGTATTTATGATGCAAGCGAAATATTATTTGAAAAATTTTGATATCCAAGCACAAGGATTCAAGAATTATACTATTAAAAAAAAAAAAAAAAAAAAAAAAGGCAGTATGTGTGTACCAGGCTTGATTGAATTGAAACAAACAAAAAGCCGCGCCTCACACATGGAAAATTGTTTTTCCAAAAATAGAGAGTTTTCTCATTTCAAGGCTTGTGCTAACTAACTGCACATTTGATTTGGCTACAGAATAAGGAATTTGTTGACAATTACCGTACAGGTGCCAAGATCGGAGACCAATACTGACAGTGGAGAGCGGTGATTTCGGAGCATCGCGTTCAGCGTGGGTGTTCCTTTCCACATTTCGGTTGGGGCTCTACCTTCCCCGAAGTTTACACCAGAAAAGCACCTTTCATTTTTCTTCCAACTACCTACCAACGGTTTCTCCAATGGACTTAAGAAAAGTAGTACTGTAGTAGTAGTATAAACTATAAAGCAGTGGCGGATTTAAATAAAAAAAAAAAAACCAAAATTAGTGTGTAGGAATTAAAAAAGGTACCAGGTTTGTTTGGAAAGCTGATTATTTCTCCAAATAAATATATTTGCTTACATCATCGTTATAAATTTCAATACATCTTTTTATCTTCCCAATTACCTTTTTATCTCACGTACATCGCATCACAAAAAGTGCTACAGTAAAAATATCATGTATGTATGGTGGTAGAAAGATGGACATCATCACATTGAAATGTATTACAAGTTTCGACTCAAAA